CCTTTTTGTAAGCTGATGTTTGATGTCACAGTGCCTGCCCTACTGGCACATCTTTTAAAACAGATGTTCTCTGCATCTGCCCGCTCTGTGTGCGACGGGCACAGCTCTGCTGGAAGATTGCTTTCCAAGCCCTTCCAGTGATGGAAAGGGGTGGGCAGTATTACTACTACTATTTCTGTTACTATTAATTTGTTTGGAAACACTGCTGGCTCAAAACCTGGCTCAGCTGCTGATGAAGAAGGGAAGATCTGCTCATGTCGAGAGAGCTTCAAAGGTTTTGAACTACAGGCTGATGCTTTTGAAGCATAGCTCCTTGGGACAGTGCTACCAACTGTTCTTTCCCCTTGGTAATAAAGCTTTATAGGACATTTAGTGCAATCCTAGATGGGTCTTTTGCTGCCTGGGAGGTAATGGTGTTGTGTGCTAGAGAATTCAGTTCCACTCTAGGAAAAGGAACGGCTTTGTGCCAGTTTGTCCATCATCAATGGCTGCTTTTGTCAGCTGGTTTCTCCATATGGCATTCCTGAAGCACCTGGAGAATTAATCTGACAAAATTAGTCTTTGGTTTTGTGCAAAGAATACTTTTTTATGTACATGGAAGGGGAAAGACCAATACACTGCTCTCCTGGAGAACCAGACTGGTGCCTGTGTGCTAGGAGGGGCCTCAGCCTGAGGAGGGCATTGACAGCAGCAAGTGGGGGCTTGGAAGAGGCGCACCACAACATGGGTAAACACACAAAAGGGAGGAGGATCCTTCAGTGCATGAGAACACTGGTACCTCAATGTGCTGCAGGAAAGTGGTGGCCATGGAGAATTAGGTCTGCATCATATGACAGATATTTATTGTCATGGCTCATCTCTGTCCTGATCCATGTTCGTAAGACTGAGCTAACAAGGTCATCTTATGTAGTAAACTCTGAAAATATTGGAGGCCTGCATTCTTCTACTAGCTGGGGCATTGACAGCACATGTTTCCATCACTTAAACTGTGGCTGTCAAGATTGCAAGCTCTTTGCCTATGTCCACAGGGAAAGATATAATTATGTATGTATGGTATATTAAAAATGGAAACCATTCAGCACTGGAAGCCAACTCAAAAAGGACAGATGGGGAGATGTGATAAGGGAAATAAAGCTACTACAAAGCAGAAAATTGTAGAAGAAGCAAACTAAGTGGCCTTTATCTACCAACTACCCATCTGTTGGTCATCCACCAATCTCTCTACTTGCTACATATTTGGATGTTACTATTTAAAAAACAGACAAGGGAGCAGCATGTGGAGGTCTGGCTGGGACAAGAGGAAAGCGGCTAAAGGACCTTTTTACTGGCTGGTAAATTCATGCCTGGTCTCCCTTCAAGATTTCATAGTTTAGAAAGAATTTCAGTTTGCTCTTCAAAAGATGCGTCAGTCTGTTCTGGATTAAGAAGACAATATGCCTTCCACATTTACTCCCCCTGCAAAGACTGATTTTTGGAGGATTTACTAGTCATTTTGTTTCAGACACATTTCTTAACAAGTTGGCTTTCTTCATGGTTAAGCTTAAATTCTGTCCTTCGTGAATCCTACAAGGCTCCCTATGTGGTGTTTGTCCTTTCATGGTCATTGCTGACACATAATCGCTGCACTCACTGTGCTCTACTAAAATTATTTTGTCAGGGTAAAAATCGCAAATTAAAACATTCTCTAAGAGGGAGGACCCCAAATATAATTACATAACAAAAATTCCCCCAATCATTTCCAAGCAATTTAAAATTGAATATAAATCTTTTCGTTACTACCAGATGTGATCTTCCCAAAGCTTCAGACATTAATAATCTCTCTGAATTTTCCTGCTATTTCAATATCCTATCCATAGAGAAACCAGCCTGTGCCTCTACCACCCATTCAGGAAAATTTAGAAACCAGGTCAATGACTGGTATCTTTATCCATTAAAATCAATGATCATACATATTTTAATTTACTTTCTCAGTTTTCCTTCCCTTCCATTGCTTATTTGCAGCTGAACCTCCATTTTCCTCTCCCGGACCCTGCCTTTTTTTTATGGGAATCTAGGAAGTTCCCTCTATTTTCCTTTTTCTGCCTTTTCTTTCTTTTCAGTCTCTAGTCTCTTTCCCTTATTTTAATAGCCATGGTTCTCTGTTGACTGCAGATCTTGGCTATATCCTGATAAAGTCAACAGAAAGGTTTTCCCTGGAATTTCAGATGTGTTTCCATATTGGTTTTTCTTTCCACTCCTCTCCTTTTATTTCTTGACGCCTGGCTGGCCGATTTAAACAAACATTTTCAGAACAACTTGTCCTCAGCTGACTAAACTGGTAAATAACAGATAAATATAGTTTCAATTGGGAACAGCTTTCTGGCAAAGGATGGAGAACAGCACTAAAGAAGAATTTTTCTCACCTTGAGTCATGGGACCTGGTTGGTTAAATTAAAACCATTTACTTAACCTGCATGTAGAACATGCAAACAACAGAAATATCCTTTACTTGTACAGATGCCTACAGTACCCTTGTTGTTGTGAAACACAAATAGACCATTTTTCTTTCTTTCTTTGAATCCAAAGCAGCAAAAAACCAAATTTATGTATTTAAGCAAAGGCCCAGGCTTATTTTTTCAGTCATTCTTTTTTTTTACCCACTACCTAGAAAGCTCTGTCATAAGCTCCAAGCTTCAACATGTAATGATAGAATTATAAATTCTTTGATGTCCTAAGGCCGGCTACCTCCCATCATAACTCAATCTTCCTGCTACGCATTACTGTCTTCTTATCAAAGTGCACTTCACCAAGCACACAAAAGGAGTGTTGCTATGTTTGTTAAGATGATAATTCGTATATTTGCTATGAAGCATACAGAGGACTTCTATATATATTTTTATATGTGTTTGTTCATACAGAGGGGCTAGAAATCTAGATATTATAGTGCTTTTGATATATGGAGAGAAAATAAAAAAATAATTCGCAATAGTAAGTCATTGTATTTTGAAATTTATTGTAATAAATTACAGCAATAGTTCACACAACCCAGCTATTATCTCAGATTGTCTCTCTGCAGAATCACAAAAACAATCTGAGTCATCCTGACTTGATTCATGTTCAGTTCCTTTTTGGGAAGACTTCCCTCACCATCAGGCCGCCTCGCCTGGTAGCATTTTTTTTCTGTAAAAGCTCAAATTCTGTACAACAGTCCCACAGCCTATGTTGGGTTCTGCAGAATGAATCATGGAAAATATGCATCCCTGCTTGTTTGCAGCTGGTTATTTTTTGCTGAGGTCCATGTGGAAGGAGAACTGTGCAACTTTTTCCTCCATGATACGTGTCGTTTTAGCACTCTGACAGGAATGGATTAATAGAGACTTACCAAAGATATCAAAAGATGTTCAGCATTTCAAAGAGGGAAAAGAAGAGGAGCTGACATGCAGAACCAAGGTTGAGTATCCACCATTTTCAGAAAGAAAGTTAATTCATCTTTATGAATAAAGCAAGGCACAACAGAGTTGTTTCCCTTTTCCTCCCAAGGTCCTTTGCATGGCCTGCCACTAAATTATTGTGAAAATTTTATTTATATTTGCTGTGGCTTTCATTTCACCTACATATGTTATATGAGTGGGTACATGCAGAATATATTATTTTAATTAGTTCATGGAGTTGATTAATTAATAACTTGCTCCTCTTACCTGAAAAGCATGACAGGAGCTCAGAAAATTACTTGCACTTGCTACCCTTCCTTACATTATTTGAGAGAGATCTCTCTGAGCTGAAAATGCAGCACAGTAACTTTATATAATACCTTAGACATGAAGTGAATAATAATGTGTGACTTCAGGGAAATGAAGGTATGCAGAGTACCAATGACACTGGCTAATATTTCTGCAGTTGAACAGTTCAGCAGTGAGCAGCCTTGCTTCTGACAGTGTCCTGAAAAATTACGGTACAAATTTTACTATTAAAATCATCACTGAAAACGTGACAATCATTACGAAGATTTCCAGATTCCTCCAGCTAAAATGAGGACTGAAGGAACTTTAGAATCAAAAAGTTGAAGTGTTTGATTATGTGAAGCTGTATGACTGAACAATTGCTATTTATCTGCTGAAGAAAAGTGAAGTCAGGTGCAGAGAGACAAGTTGTAGGGGCTGCATGAGCTGTGGGGAGAACACCTTACCGGGCTCAATGGGCTTAAACTGGATATGGATATATAAACTGGGCATTAACTGGGTGTCAACTTCAGGCACAAAACTGGTTGGGAACTAATGTAAACCCTGGGAATATGCATTGTTGGCATGAAGTCCTGATTTCCTCTGTATGTGCGTTGAGCTCTGAAGCACGGTGCTTGCTTCAGGCACTCTTAAAGATTGTACTGAGACCAACTAAAAGGCTTGAAAGCATCTTTGGATAGAAGTGGTAGGTGTGCAATCATTTAAGCATGCCAAGAAAAAGTTTAAGGATTTTGGTTGTAGATGGTAAGTATTTACGTCAGGACAAATGCTCTTCCAATCTAGCAAGAAAAGATATAAAAAGACCTTGTGGCTGGAGCTGGACAAATACACAGGATGAAAAGGCTACACATTTTGCCAGGGAAATACTTAGCTACTGGTGTGGATTGCAAGAGGTTATTGTGGCTTTTCTACCATTAGCAATTTTTAAATCGAGAATAGATGTTGTTGGGTTTTTTAAATCTAAAAGATTTACTCAAGTTTAAACTGGATGAAATTCAAGGATGTCCTGTGTCCTAAATGGTGTGGTTAGGTGACCACACAGTGACTCCTGGTTTTATAATCTGAAAATCCTATTGCTCTGACAAATGGGTCTGGAGGAGCTTTCACTGCGACTGATGCCTTGGATTCATGGATGCGCACTGTGTTTACTGGGGTCAGCACTCACCTTTCTTCCTTGTGAACCAGCTCAGCCCTGACTGTCCAGGCTGCAGAACTGCACTAAGCAGACCTGTCCTGCCTAGCCCAGGGATGCTCCTTTTTCACTTATTTCTCTCCTCCCAGGCTGGAAGCCCACATTCCTTTTTCCGAGGAGCCAGGAGCCACCTTGAACCGGGGAACTTCTGTAGCGCTTTGAGAGTAACCATTCACAAAGACCTTACAGCTCTGAACTACAGCACGCACAAAGAACACTTTTTTTCTAACAACTACAAAATGCTGCAATAAGCTTTGCTCCAATGAAACCTCTGTTAGTGGTAGTGGAGCTTGGTATGCTAGTGACTAAGGATTTGACTATCAGATAATTGCAATTATATGTTCTTTCCAGAACAACTTGCATTATTTAAGAAGAAAAACAAACTCCAAGCAAGCTGGTCAGAGGTTTTGAAATATTCAGATGCAGAGCTCCAAGCTTTAGCCACTGGGGTTCAGTGCAAAGTGCTGCTAAGCAGGCAATAGGCTCAGGATTTATTTCAGTGACTGAACTTACAAATACAGAAAGTTCACAGAAAAGCCTGCTCTTGTGAACTTTCAACCAGCATTTGCAAACTAAGAATCCATAGATTACTTATATAATAAATGGATGCATATCTGTCCAAATGTTTAATAAAGATACTATGTGAGAAGCATGTAACAAGTAATTTTCCTCTGCAGTAACAATATATTTTTTGCGTTGTATACAGGATAGTCACAATAGCAGTTTAAATCTTTTGAAGCTTCTATGTTCAGAAGATGATATTTTGACAACAATTATACCCAAAATGCAGGTATTAGAATAAGAATTTTCAGGTCAGATGAGACTAAAATTTGGTAATGACTGAATTCTCTTTAATTGTTATTGCTATATATGCACCATTTAAACAAGACCTTGATACTTAAAAGTAAACTGAACTGTGCAGTATGATCCAGTAAAACCTGTTTTTATAAGTGCTCTTTGTACCCTGGAAGACATGGGGATGGTGACACTATTGATTTTCAAAGGCCAGCTCACCTGTTTCTGGTTACTTTGGCTAATGGAGTGTGCGTGGCCTGGAAGGGAGAGCCCTGTTTGGCCACAGTTGCCATGCACCCTTGCAGCTGCCTGCTCCCACGCCTGCTCTCTCTGGCTCCCCTGCGAAGCGCTCATCAAGTGCACATGAGTTACATCCACACCAGCACAGCCATGGTGATTTTTATTTCCCGGTTGCTCCCAGAGGCATGAACACGAGCTCCAGCCCCAGGCTGACACTTATTGCCCTATTGCCAGCACAGCTGGCCCCAGGTCTGGAAGTCTGGTAAGATGAGTTGAAAGTCCTGTTTCTTCCATGTGCACTCATGTTCCCGTTGCAACTCAAATATATTAAAGCGGTTTTCTCTCTCTAAATGTATCTTCAAATATCTGTGTTTCAGATTTATGCTGTTGCCAATTCACTTTACATTTTGCATTTTATCAAATGCCTGCTTTAACTGCGGATATTTGGGCTCGACAAGAACAAGAGGGAAGTGAGGAGAGGGAAGAGATTAAAATGACTTGTGGGTGTATTAGTAGGATTTCTGAACTTGGGTTTAGGTCTGCTGAGTCTTTGGCAGCATAATTTCTGTCTCAGAACTGTAGTGGTGGGTGCCTACCAAGACTGGGCAGTTCCCAGGCTGGGAGCCCGTTCTGTCCCACTGGCTCTAACCACACCTGGAGCATGAGATCTGCTGTTCTGTAAGCACCAGTCTGCTCTCTCACCTTGTTTGCATCTTTTCACTAAAGCACACACAGGGAAAATGCTTCTTTTGAGTCTAGCTACCTCATCCTGAGAGGATGCAAAGAAACTTGTTCTTCTTGCAGCCAAAGGACTCTCAAAGCCTTGCATTTTTGGAAGAGGTAAGTGACGGAGGAGATGGATCTGCAAAGGTAAGAAAGACCATTCCTCAGAGATAGAAATTACAGCACAACTCTTGTTAAGTTCCCAAGCTCCAGCTTTATGGATTACAGTGGAGAACCTCTGCCACACTAAATGCTGCTTTACTCCTGCTATCTGTATCAGGCAAGGAGATTCTACAGTACTTCCAAGATACCACTCCACAGGATACCACTCCATAGGATGCTATTAGAATAACAGAAAGTGAAGCCAGGTGATGAAAAACACATTTGTCAAGAGTTTGGTGTGACAGACATCCATTCCTGAGCTGTCATGTGCTCTAGTATCTGTTTTACATTCCTACACAGGGTTTTGTAACAGTGAGAGGAAGTGGTCAATTCTTTCAAATTTGAGAGAGACGTGCTGGCACTGATTTCTGTGGCTGCAGTCATGTGTCAAGAGATTATTTGTGCTGGCACAGTGAGCTCAATACATGTCTACATTCTTGATACTTGAATCTCAAAAACTTCACTAGAAGAGATGCCAGTAAGCTGTTATTTCCTCCAAGTACCAGTTCTCCGTAGATATAATCATAGTAACAGCCATCATATTTGTGCTAACACTGGCCAGCAAGGATTGAAATCTTGGCCCTGTTGAAATCTTTGGTAAAGATTTGGCTGAGAAGTGTAAATAGGTTTCCACACACAAAAAAAAAAAAAAGTATGGAAGGAAAAAATAGAGGTCTGTGTAACAGCAGTAAAATGTTTTTTATTTTCAGCATCCCCAATGTCAATGTTCTTCCTCTATAAAAAGTTCAAATTTGTTTGTGCTGCAAGGAAACCTCCACAACAAAAGTTCATTCCTCATTTTCATATCTACCTCCAAAACAAAATTCCTGTCAGGGCTGTGTTTTAACCCAGATGGTGGCAGAACTACAGCCTGGCGAGATACCCGACAGCCCAATGAGGGCTGATGGGACAAGTCATATGCCAGCTGAATTCCTTCTGGTGAACAAAGGGATTTTGTTATTGTTCTTAAAAGCTGATGATGCCCCAGAGGGTATCCAGCCTTCGGACAGAAAGTTTCATCTTTGCAAATGTGATCTAACAGGTGCCTAATCAAAACAAGTTTGTTCCTTGATTGGTTTTAATTGATTTTGGAAGCCAGCTCCATAAAACAAATACCTGTGGCACCAAATATCTAAACCATGAAAAACACTGTGGAGCATCAGGTCCTTGACCTAATAGCCACAGGAAATTCCAGACTAAATGTTCCCAAAAGTTGAGTTGATTGTGCCTTATCTTTTTGATGACCCTAAGAATTACTACTAACATGTTACACAAGGATTCGAAAATGCTGCCAAAAATTAAAGGTTGAGATTTTTCCATTCTAGGCTCTTTACCTATTTCCCTTTTGATGTACCTTTTATTTATTCATGATGCTGATTCATTTTTGCTCAAAAACGTGGGCAGCGTGAGCAGCAGGAGCAACAGCAGATGGCAGCACCAAGCTGCTGGATCGGGGCTGTCAGCGCAGGCAAGGGGAAAACACGAACTGAGATTTTAACAAAAGTTTCTGGGAGTTTGTTTGCTTTCAGATCTCCTTCTTTTCTCCCATTCCTTTGGATTTATTTTGTTTTCTTTCGATTTTTCTACTCAGTATTGGAAAAATAAAGAGAAAAAAGAACAGCAGATGAGGAAAGTTGCTATGTCGGGTCATCCTGTATTGATTTAGAAGAAGATGGTAAGACCTGATGTGACCTGCTGAATGGATGACATGAGGTTATGGCCTAGCCTACCAGCACTTCACGTCCTATTAAACACACCACAGGGGCAACATCTGGAGGGTTAAACAGCTGCTGGGTAATGCAATTTTAAATACCACTTCATCAAAGTAATAGACTCCACAGGACCCTCTTGGGATCTGCACACTGATGTGTTCCAGGCTTTGTGTGCTGCAGCCCTTTTGTGTAACACATTAAGGAGACCCTGATAGCTCTCACTTTAGCAGAGTGATAGAACCGAGGTTTGCAAATTCATCTACGGAACAACGCCTTGCTGAGCCTGGGATCAAACACATGGCCTTTATGGGTTTTCACTTTTTTTTTGTTTTCTTCCTCAAAGCTTGATATTCGGTGTACCCAAAATTACAGCAAGCTAAAGAAAAGATTTAAGAAGAATAGATTTACTCTTGAGTCTATTTTACAGCAATATATGAGCTTCCAAAGGAGATCACAGCCATGTTTTCTGTTCTCCAGGATAGTTACAGAGGAGGGAGCAAATCTTCTCTGTTCTCAACATAACCAGCCAAGCTCTCAATCTGAATAACAAAAGGATTCCTCAGGCCCTTACCAGACCTGGCTCCTCTTCTGCATTCTTCAAATACAATCCCTAGCTGCAGCAACACAAATCATGAAGGAAATGTGGTCTCCAATTTGGTCGACCATGGAGGCTGGTGCCACCACCTAGCTGCAAATCAACACGCCTGAGAGTAGGATGGTATGCAATTTTCCAAAATAAATCCTTCCAGTTTTTCATAGCTGCTAAGCAACAGTTAGGAGAAGATCCATTAAATAATTAATTAATCAATCGCTTTAGTCACATTGAATAATTAATCACTTTGAGAGACGACAGCCAAATAACTTTTTCTATTGCCTGCTAATGCAACATTTGCTTTTTGATTCTGAATCCAGTGAAACCCTTAGCAAACACATATCCCTGCTCCTGGGCAGGCAGAATTTGGCAGCTGTCACTGATTGAACTTTGTCACTACCTGGAGCATATGGAAGGACACTTGGCAACTCCTTTCCAGGGAGAAAAGCACAGGGTAAAACCTGCAGACAGCATGAGCCTGTATCCTTTGGCCCAAGTCCATTGAAAGACTTCAGTTCTTTCTGAGCGAGTATCTGCCCTTGGTGTTGTCTTTACTTGGACATCATTCTCTCTGCTATATTGCAATCATTTCAGATTAAAGGGCAGAGGAAAATTCCTCACTTACCTGCCATAGTTTTGGTTGAGGTATTCTGGGTAATTTTCTTTGTGATGCCTTTTAAAGAGGGATGTAGTCATAGAGGAGCAGGAGGAGTTATGAACCTAGCAATAGCCACCACTGCCATTTTATTTTGGCTATTGGGTACTTATAAACTTTGGGATGTTAGGAAAAGACCAGAGAAATGACTTGTTTCATCTTTCTCTACTGAGCTGTACAAAACAATCTCAACAGAGGCACTGAACAGAGCCCTGAATTGTCTCTGAAGTGTGTGCTGTAGCCTCACTTGACATCCTCCATGCCACTCCTGCACAAAGTATTTACACCAGTACTATCCACAAATGATTCTATTAGGTAACTATTCTTTGGAAATTGTAACACTTTTGAATGCACATATATGAAAGATGCCCTCTTCTCACTAAACTAGTTTGTGGCCTATGCTTTAGAAACAGAATCTATTAACACTGCAGGCATATGAGCTACTGTAATTTACTGACCGAAGTTATTTTCCTTCACTCATTACTGCTGAGGACACCACGGCTGCCCTCCATCTGTGGAGAGGTCTTCATAAGAAAATGGGGAGCAGTAGGGAAACAGCATGGATTCTCCAAAGAATGCATTAGTTTATTTATTTTTTTCAAATGTCTTTCATGTCTTGGCTTTGTGCATCTTTTCCAAGAAGCAAATGCTTCACAGATGGAAAGAAGAAATTTTCAGTTGTAAAAATTCTAAACAGTTCAGGTGAAATGAAAAACAGAGCTTCCTGGAGACATACCAGCTTTTTCTTTTTATTCATTTTTTTTTGCCCCAGCCTCACTTTGATTGTAAAAATATTCACCCACCTCCAGACTTTATAGCATGAGAAATGCCCTTCCTGGGGTCTAATCTATGCCTGAGGTATCACTGCAGGTCGATCAGAAAGGAAGGCTCCTATTTCCACACAGACTTTACACATCTGCTCTGATTCTCTGCAGGGTGGATCCTCAGTAACCCTGCTGCAAAAATTGAGTCTTGTATAAACCAAGCTTATACTGGCATAGCTCCTCTTCTTCTACATTGTGATCAGGCAGAGGTCTAATTTGTCCACTGATACTCTGTTTTCTGTCAATTCAAAAGGTTTGGTAGTGAAATTAGGGGAAAAGATCACAGTCAATTGGTGAGAAAGAGTAATGAGCTTATTTTTGGATTCCTCCTGCTGATAAAACCTTTAAGGATTTATGGCAGATCAAATTAGCAGGAGCTTTAGTAGATAGCCTCATAACCTTTGGATAGCCGACACTGCCTATGAGGCAGTTAAATCTACTGCAGACTCCCGATGGGGAGCTTAATTCATCCTCCAGGACATCTGCCTTGGAGCCAGACACCCATAGCCAGACTCTTACACATCCAGGGCCTCCCATGTGGAGACTGAGGCCCAGCAGTGGACAAGAGTGCCTGCCTAGCGCTGCTGGTGGCCGTGAGGGTGGAGCTGGAGCAATCCCCACATGGGGCAGGCGTCTGCAATGAGCAGAACAAGCACAGGGCACCAGATCATCTCCTGGGTGCTGGGGGGTGAGTCCAGTTCCATGGGCTCTAAATCGTTTGGGACCCTCAGGATCAGAGACTAAGAAAAGCAGAGAAGGTGGCCTGTGATTGTAGGCTGCTGCCACGTCTTGGGGAAGGCAGGTCTGACACGCACTAATGCTTAAAGCTCAGGCGCTGGCGCCCTTTGGATATTGCAGTAGATTTTACAACGCACATTTGACAAACATGCCGTGCGAGGGCCTGCAGGAAGAGAGCGAAACACTCAGCAGTGGGTGCTGAATCAGGGTCTGAGCGTGTAATCCAAGGCTATTTGCTATAAAGTCTAGGACATTCCCTTAAAAATGTTGAGTTGGGCAGGAAATGTCTGGTTACTTGTGTAACTGTTTGCAAGATACACAAACTCATCAGGCTCTGACTCCTAAGTCTTATGACAATAATGCATTTTCTTCCAGACATGTTCAGTTGCATATCTGATACACATACTGCTCAGCCAAAATGACTTGTTAGTGATTTATTTGGAATATCCAGCCTTTACCATATGACATCACCTCCTCAACTTGATGAAAAAAAGGTTTAGACTGAATTCTTCCCATTAAAAATAATGGGGCAATAGGTTTCTTGATGCCAATATTTACTGATATCAAAGAAAAATATTGTCTTGGTTATTTGTCTTAATTTAGCTCAAACAGTACACAAAGCACAGTGTACAAAAACAATATGTTCCTTCTTCTAAACCAGATCATCACTTACTAATTGCTATATGATTTTAATGAAAACAGAGGCATGATTCAGTTAGGCTTCATAAAAATTATCTCACTATATTTGTTTCTTTTCTTACCCTGATTGATAGAGAGGCATGTAAAATTACATTCTATATCTGCCTTTACACAGAACCTCAGAATGATTGCTTTTAAACTGTGCATTATACAAAATACAGGAGAATGAGACCCAGATCCTTTGCTAAGTTATGTAAGAAACAGTTACATTATGTATATGTAATTGTATATATACAGGTAATAAAATATGTACTCTGTGTCTGTGTGTGCCCACACATATTAAATTAATTTTTATACTTTAATTAAAGCTTATGGATCTCTGATATTTGAACATTCCTAAAATTCAGGTGTTGTATTTGGATACATTTTGCACAGACCATTCAATATATTTAAATCCAATAAAAAATCCAACCTAGCACTAGGGCAAGTTCATGTGAGAACTGATATGCTCAGAGAGAATGCTTTGCTTAGGAGCAAAGACCCGGATGCAGACAGAGCTGTGCCTTACCTTCCTGTGACTTTTGTCCTGTTTAGAAACTCACATGGAATCCCAAGTGTTGCAAGCTCAGATAAAACATCAGAGAAAAATAATTTCAAGCAAGGACAGACATGTGAATAGCTAAAAGACTTTGTAAGAACTAGTCTGCTTCCAGCACACCAGAATAAGAAAGCTTGAGCCCAGATCTTTTACTGAGGACTCTAGGATACATTTGATGATGAATGAAACTGCCCCTTCTCTGTTGCCTTTCCATTGCTTAAGAAACCTTCTTCAGAAGTTACAAATGCATTTTTCTCAGACCTTTCTACCACAGCACGACTCATTTACAGGCATTCAGCAGATCTTTGCTTCCATCTACATTGGGAAATTTCTCTTCCTGCCTCCTCTTGAACAGTTCCCATTCCAGGCTCCACACCAGGGGTGTGGTGCAATGGCAACCATGTTCTGTCAGTGGCAATCACATCAAAACCCATGAATTGGTGTCTCCTGGACTTCAGTGACTGTAAACAAGCCCAACCCTGCCACACATGCAAAACTAACTTTTAGCCATAGCTCACACGCTGTTACTTTGGGGAAGGGGGAGAGAGGATTTCTGCCTGGTTGCCACTAGATGGAGTGAAGCCAAAACTGTATATTTTATTAGGCTTGTGATGGAAACACATTCTTTCCCTATATGGGTTTGGGGGTTTTGTTGTTTGGGTTTTTTTCTTAAATAAGTCTATTAAGCTGAGAACCAAGCCTGTCTGGTTCTGGACTGAGAGAGCCCTGTTAATGTTAGTGTGTTGCTCTGATTTGTGACTTGGGTTCACGCAAAGGATTGATAACACATGGACTTTCCATGCTGTACACCAGAGAACTGAAGTAAAAATTTTCTAATTACTTTCCTTTCTTTGTCTTCCAGCACCCAATTCAGATGAGTAAAAAAGGAGTTTTAGCTGTGGAGAGAGTCCTTGTGCTGTGACTGCAGAGGCACACAGGTTCTATCTTTGGGCTTCTAAGGCGGATCATTAATACCTGGTGGTGCTGGCAACCTTCAAAGAGTTTAAGCAATAGCCCATCTTTCCTTTTCCTCTTTCACTCTGTTAGCCCACCTTTTGCACTTGTCCATGCGTGCATCTAAACTCCTGTGCTCTGCTCGACTAATTACATGCTCATAACACATGGGGAAATCACAAGATATTTCTTCTTGGTGTGCAGTATATTATCAATCACTGTTTTCATAGCACAGCTGGTACTCCCTGATGTGCTCAGCATTGTTCTACTCCATCTAGGGGAGCTTGGTTATTGTTTTAAATGGCAGATGACAATAAGGTCACAGCTATGGTTTCTCAAAATCTAGTACATACAGATGTGTACTTTGAAAAGTGCAGTGCAGTTTAAATGGTGAACATACCTACATAAAGTTCATTACACTGTAGTTTTTTAATGATACCAAATCTGCATATGCCTGAAACACTTAAGTCCCTGAAAGCCCAAGGGTGTTTTAGGAACTGTTTTGCTTAGAAAATAGAATAGAATAGAATAGAATAGAATAGAATAGAATAGAATAGAATAGAACAGAACAGAATAGAACTACTTGAGTTGGATCTTGTAGTCTGATCCATCAGATCCATCAGCCTGACCAAGGGCTGACCAAGTTTAACACGTGTTAAAGGCATTGTCCAAACACGTCTTTAAGGCACTGAAAGGGTTTGGGCATTGAACACTTCTCTAGGAAGCCTATTCCAGTGTTTGACCACCCTCTCTATATCTACTAAACTCCTAAGAATATTTATTTTGTCCTACATTTCATTTGGCAAGAAAGTAAGCAATTTTTTCATACTCTTCCTTGAATCTGAATTATAAGCTATTTTTTTACCCTTATTCCTTCTGAAGCAGGAAATATTACTACTTTACAAACTTTGAAGGCCTTCTGTTAAGCAAATGAAAACCTTGCAGATCTCTGCTACTGCTAATACTCTTCCAGATGAGGCTGCTTGGATGTTACTTCTTTTCCACCAAGTGAGGTTCCTTTTTACAGAACTCAGTGATGAAATGATTTAAGGCAATAGCTGCTCAGAAATCCAAATACATCTCATCAAAAGCCTTTTAAAAGAAAATTTTGTTGAGGAATGTTTCTGCTTGAAGAATAATCTTGTATTTTCTCCAGGAAGTTTTGAACACATTCAGGAAAAAATAGAAACTTTGAAACATTATTATTTATACTTTAAATATTCTGTTACTGTATTTTTCATATTTTTAAGAAAGCAATGAAATTACTAATCATAACAGAATAAGAGATTATAAATATGATTATTATTAATTGATGGATATTTTGACTCTAAACATAATTTTGTTTGAGATTTTGAAATGGGTTAGTGGAAATTACAGAACAGCAAAAAACCCTGACATTTCAAGTAGAGTGCATCAATTTGAAACCAAACCACTGTTTCTGTCTAAAAGAGTTTTTCAACCACTTTCAGAGAGCTCCCCATGCCAAAGGCTCACCTCCCCATGTTGTGCATGCACACTTTCAAGTCTGCCAGCGTTTAATAATGAGGGACAGATTGTGAGATCTCAGTTGTGCAAGCAAAGCTGATTTTTTCCATTCCAAGACTGGAATTGAAGTGAATCAGGGCAAGAGCCAGGCATCTCATCATGGACAGGAGAAGAAGAGTGGGCAGGAGTATAGAACAGAAAGGGACAAGGACATGCTCTAGCATCCCAGGCTTGCTGCTTCTGGGACTTCCAAGGGGAAAGGGAAACTGAGCACGGCTGGGCTGCTTCCAGCTAGGATTCTGACAACTTCCTACATCCCAGCTCTTCCTTCAGCAAAGCAGTGGAAACATCCAGTTTAGCCCTCTGGCACGCACAGTCTGTTTTCTAACCAAAAGGCATGACTTTCTAAGCAACCAAATTTTTCTAAACGCCACTTTTAGCTGGATAGAGCTCTCATACCATGACTTCCCAGTTAGGAGTATGGCAAGAATGTCCCAAGTACTACAGGACACTTTGATGCAAAAAATAAAGGGTTCATTGACCCTTCTTCACTAATGATTTTCTGATTGTCTCCCTCTTCCTTGAAAATCCTGATGGAGTATTGGTTCAATATCACATGTTACAAACATCAGATACATCAATAACTCTTGAAATTAGCATAGGATTTCTTTCAGGGCTCTCACACACCTTCTAACTGTTCCTCATCCTATCTTCTTCACAATAGCTGGCACCATTGCATTAAAAATGTGCTACAGAGAAGTTTATGATTATTTGTTGCTTTGATGAAACACTGACTATAGCCATTAATATCCATATAAATTTCTAACCTGCATGGGTGAGGTTAGAAATTAACTTCACTTTCTTAAAAATCACATTAAATACAAAAGACTTTGTGAGATTTTTTTGATACTCAGTGGAGAGAAAGAAGCATGTTTATAGGGCAAATAATTTCTTCTGATGCCATAGATGAGGCTATGATACCAATTACTCAAGGGTATCTTTTTCCTTCTGCCAGTCACAAAAGGGCACCTAGGTGAATAACCTAAAGTTGCTAATTAATACTTTAGAAGGTAAAATTGCGTTAGATGAATCCCAACAACCATGTTGTAACTTTATCTTGCAGTGAAAAACAAGGGTTTGGCAAGCAAAAAGCTCTATATTAGACTATAACTATGTATATGCTAATGTATATGTATTTAAATAAAAATGAAAACCCTTAAATGAACAACTGTATTATTCTAATAATATTCTAATAATATAGTGATTCTTTGCATCAGCTACGTTCTTTCCTCTTTTACCTACCTTTCTACCTCTTCATAGTCTGGAAGATATCACTATCTAAGTACTCAGTATGTGGTCTTAATTTTTTAACTTATTGAAGAAAAACTATTTGGAAACATCTCACTCTCTTAATTGCATATTGTTTGGTAATATTCTGTAGTGCAAAAAGGGTTTTTAAATTAGGTTGCTTCCTGTAACTCACTTCCTGAAACTCATCTTGCAAGCCTCAAGTCTCCATGTAGTTTTGCAGCAGCGAAATACCATTTCATTCTGAGGCTGTAAAGAAAATTGCTTCCTTCACCACTGCTCAGGCAGGATCACCAAGCAGAGGGGAGAAGGGATCCTGCTGGGGGCTGCACTGGCAGTGCCCGAGGTCAGGGAAGGGGAAAGTGAGTGGCTGCAGCTCATGTGCACGCAGTGTTTGCTCCCAGTGCGCTTGTGCCTGCGAGCACAGCAGCCACAGCTTGCGCTCAGGACGGACACAGCTCTGGCAGTGTGTCCTTGCCGTTCAAACCTGCTATTCAGCCTGCCCAGTGCTAGGCCTGTCCTTAGGCACGAAGGAAAATTATGCCAGTGAAAGCAATTCTTTTTGATATGGAAAAACGTCAGAAGGGGCTCGGATAAGATTAGAAAAACAATTTCCTTTGCTGACCAAACACAAATTTTAAGCCAGGTCACCAAAGGTGAAATGTCACTACACCAAGTTATGTAGTTTTGACTTCCCAGTTAATCCTTATTTCAAGGTAATGAAACTTAACTGTCATCTGGAATACCGTGTCCAGCCCCAGTATCTACACCTTCAAAAGGATTTTGAAAAATTGGAAAGCATTCAGGAAACCACTTCAGGAATGCTTTGAGAACTCTTTAATCCAGCAGACAAAGGCATAACAAGATCCAGTATCAGAAAGCTGTGTTTTGAAATATTCAGATTAAAATAAAGGTTATAAGAATTGCATAAGCAGGGAAGGACTTACTACATTATCCATAACTTCAAACTTTTGAATCTAGACTCCTTTATCTTATTAAAAAGATCATCATTTGCTTAGCTAGAACTATGGACTTGAGTTGAGAATTTCAAGATTTTTAAGATTCTTCTTGGGCCTTGATAAGCAATAAGTCAATGTGAAGTAAGGTACTTAACTTTCAAGCATTATGTCTCTTGTCTTCTCTCTTTGAGCATGTGCTTAAAAGTTGGTACAATAGTAGCGTACCCAAAGGAAAACCCAAGCCAAGCTTTAGACAAACTTTGATCTTTGGTTATTTTAAACTATGGTCTTTGATTCTTATAGAAGAAAAAATACATTGTGGTGTTTTTTGTTGTTTTGTTGGGGTTTGTTTGTTGGGGGTTTTTTCTTTGTTTGGTTTGTTCGGTTGGTTTTTTTAGGAGGCTTGGTTTTGGAGTTTCTGGGTGGTGTTTTTTTGTTAGTTTGTTCGTGTTTGTGTGTGTGTGTGTGTGTGTGTGGTAGAGATGTGAATTATGATCCAGTCTTAGACATATATTCAAAGTGCTGGGGAAGAGATCATGCTGCAAAGAACAGCTATAGATAACAATTTGCTCTAGGACTCTTTCCCTACTTATTCAAAGTTCACTTGCAAATTATAGACTCATCAGACTTCATCAGTATTTAGAGGCACTCAGCTATATTTTACCAAAAGAATATACTTCAGACCGTTTGTATTTTCTGCATTTGGCATTCTTATTGCAATGGTTACCTGGTATTCTTTATGCTACCTGAGTAACATAAATGATACCAGGAGTGGATGAGTGGTCTAACGCATCAAGCCTGAATACTTGTACGTGTGTCCCATCCACAGAAGCTTCCTTGAGTAAAATTTTATTACTTAATCAGAATATGAAAAATTGCATAAACAAAACCTTAATTATTTGAGGTCCTTAAAATATTCTCTGAGTTCTTTGCACCAGCCCAATGAATTTTCAGAGGAAAGTGGACTGATACATCAGAGAATTGTCATGTCCCCTTCTCTTTAACACATAATTTTTCTAGGTGCTATGCTGCATGTCCATGCCTTTGTATGTAACTTTGTAGTTGTCAAATCCTTCTGTGACCAGAGCTTTTGCAGACTTTTCCTTATGTCTGTTTTCCTCTCATCCTGACCACTCCAAATCCAGATTCTTCCATTCCCACAGGCCCTAGGTTTAGAAAATTATGCAAATTGTGAAAATTAGAAGGCATATGGGCAAGTCCCCTTGCTATAGCTACACTATGGAGTTTTGCTCATCTGAAGTTCATTTTTCCACTGCAGATGTCCAGGACACCTGAATGAAGCATATGATACTTTATGACACGAAGTAATTTTTTCACTATGTGTACCCAGAGCACTTCAGGAGCAGCAGAAGTTCTAACCTTTATCTCTGAATGTTTCTGAATTTCCTGGTGGTTAGAGGGAATAGCACTAAGCCTGCCCTCTTACATAACATTTAAGCAGACAGTGATGGTATTGAAAACAGATCTGTAGACATGCTTATATATTCAGAAGTTTGTTTGTTTACTTCTAATTATGTAAGTTGGCTTGCTAGGAGCAACATACGCCTTCCTTTTCAACTAAAGGATTCATGAGGTTGTTAAAAGAAAGTACAGATCTAGGACTAAAACAAAAATAACTATGGGGTGCATTGCCTTCTGGTTTCCAGAATGATTCAAGTGGTCTAATCTTATTTCATTAGCCTGTGAATTTCTCCTTATTCCTACCCAGGCTTATCATCACATATAGAAAAGTGGATTATTCAGATCTTAAATAGCATGGCACGAAAAGAGAGATAAGTACACATGGCAGTACTGTCATTTTTAACTTGCTTAAGATCCTTAAGTTCTTTGCAGTTGGAAGCTTTATAAATACTCGGTTGTAATCAAATACATCATTTAGAGAAAGTACACTGCTTTTCCACATGCAGTGTCAAGCACTCATGACAACTGCTGCAGAGCCTGTAAATAATCAACATACCTGCACTGCCTGGACTGCTCTGTGTTCCCTATGGATGAGCCCCTCCTGGTCCCTGCATAATTTACCATAAATTAAAATAGATAGTGTATTTCATCTCTGATTGATATCAAAATGGATAAGCATCTATGTGAACAGCAATACGTCTCATTATCAAATCTTATAATCAAATTGAATAATTACTAAGTGATTGGTATAGATACCTGGAGCATCCTACCTTTGATGTCTATTATTCTGGTAATGATCCTAGTCGGTCACTAAGAAAATATAAAGAACCACAGAAGATCCTGAGCTGGAAGGGACCCAAAAGCACCATCGAGTCCAACTCCTGGCCACGCACAGGACACCCCAGGAGTCACACCCTGTGCCTGAGATCAGCGTCCAAACACTTCTCAAACTCTCCCAGGCTGGTGCTGTGATCGCTTCCCTGGGAAGCCTGTTCCAGTGTCCATAGCTCTGGATAAAGAACCTTTTTCTAATATTTAATCCAAACCTCCCCTGACACAACTTCACACCCTTCCCTTGTGTTCTGTCCCTGGGCACCAGAGAGAAGAGATTGGTGCTTGCCCCTCAGCTTCCCCTTGCAAGGAAGCTCGGCACTGCCATAGACCACAAAAGACCACAAACTCCCTCAATAGTTTTCTTGAATGTTAATAAAGGGCAGTTGATTTTTGAGAATGGACACTCATCTGCATTAATTTAGATTCTAGCTCAGCCTCCCAGAGGTGGCAGGCAAGCTGGGTTAGCAGCAAGCATTCTCATGGAAGTGAGGATGGCTGGAGCGGGAAGATGGCACACCTTGCTCCTAGAATTTGTGATAGAACTCTTCAGATGCCAGATTTGCTCTTGAGATGCATTTTTCTTTTTTGGTAGTTCTGCTCTTTTATCAGTTTGAACCTGACATTGTATTTTTGTGGTAAGGGACATAGCTCTAATTCAAGAAATTCCTTGTCTCTTCAAGAAGAGGAAAAGACAAATCTTTATTTAATTTTTCCCTCAATTCACTCTCTTTAAATATTATCTCTTTACATACATAATTTTTATTGCATAACACACAGTACTTGGGATCATGTTTTATTTAAAAGAAGACTTCATAGTGAATCCACCCACAACTGACAAAGGTCTCTTAATAACTAACAAAAAATAAAGAAGGAATTGAAGAAATTAAGAAACAATGTGCTATATTAGTTACTGCACATATATCTCTCAAAGTTTAGGTGGATAATTTAGTCAGAAATGGACAGACATTATGGTGTGACATTAGGAGCAAAGGGAAGGAAAGAATTCCATCATTTACATAAAGTTGATAAATTAAGTATTAACTGTGCATAAATTTTATAAAACTGGCCAGGTAAATTAACACAACTTGGCAAAAATAATTCAATTCATGGTCAAATTGTACAATTAAAACAAGCTGATGCTGTTCAAACTGATACATTTCACTTAAAAATACATATAAATATTCCTAGATTTCCAGCAAATAAAAGACTGCGCTTATTCTGGCCCAATCTCAGTCCATTCTGTTTCATCCAACACAAGTGAATGGTTTTGTAGTGATACTTTTTTTTTTGTTGTTATTCAGTTTTAATGGTCTCTGATCACATCTATTTATTTCCTATTATGAAAAAGTCTCTTAAGAAAATTACTTAGAATCATAAAATGTTAAGGGTTGGAAGGGACCCTAAATACCATCTAGTCCCAACCTCCCCTGCCATGGGAAGGGACAGCTTTCACTAGAACAGGTTGCCCAAGGTCTTGTCCTACCTGGTCTTAAACACTTGCCATGGCTGGGGCATCCACAATCTTCCTGGGCAACCTGTTCTAATATCTTGAGACCTTCACTATAAAGAATTTCTTCACCATAACTAACCTTTTTTTTCTCTAATTTTGTTTGCAAATGTTACTCCTTGTTCCATCACTACAGTTCCTGGTGAAGAGTCCCTGGACAGTTTCCCTGCAGGCCCCCTGCAGGCACTGGAAGGT